AAGTATGGCCTCATCTTCAACATATTAGTCTCGCCGATCCAAAATATAACGTATCAAAACCTATAGATTTACTATTAGATGCCAGCGTCTATTCAGATATCATCATGAGCTGTCTGATTAAGGGTCCTGCGCAAACTCCAATCGCATAACAAACCAAGATGGAATGAATTCTATCAGACAACGTTAAGACGTTTCATTGTCACGTTGTCATAAACAACACGGAAGATCTAACCAAGTTTTGGGAAGTAGAAGATATCAAGGAGTCATCTATTTCAGTCCTGACGGCAGAAGAGATCTTTATCAAGCTACTACGCGACGTTTGGAAAACGTTAGGTACGAGGTCGCCTTACCTATGAAACCTGATTTTCAAAAGCATTTAGGCACATCCAAGCAGTAGCACAATTCCTTCAACAAGAGCGAAAAATGTCAAAAAATCCACATTTACCCGAAAAATACAAGCAGTTTATGCAAGAATACTGAGATTTGGGTCACATGTGAAAGCGAACGTCACCCACGAATTGACAACTGCCAAGTGCTACCTTCTACACCATGGAGTTCTAAAACTAGATTCGACCACTACATCACTAAGAACAGCGTTTAACGCATCCTCACCTACATCAACTGGTTATAGCCTCAATGACTTGATGGAGTATGGCCCTAAGACCTAAGACCTCCTAACCCTTATCATTCAGTGGAGAAAGCATAAATACGTCGTTACTGTGGACAAAGAAAAAATATTTCGTCAAATACTTATCAGAAGTTCAGATCAGCTCCTCCAATCAATTTTCTGGAGAGACTCATCTACCCAGACTTTAGAAGAATACCTTCTGACCATGTACCAAGGCAGCACCCTTTTTAGCTATGAGGACGCTAAGAAGGATAGCAGAGGACAATGCCGACCGCTACAGCCTCGCAGCATTCGTACTAAATAATCAATTCTATATGGACGATATAATGAGTGGCAGTAACTCATTAATGCTATTAGAACAACTTATTTACCAATTAAATTGAAGTATTGCAAGGAGCTGAAATAAATATACGAAAATGGTCTAGCAACGAACCCGAACTTATAAAACATTTACCATCCCACAAACTCAATATCCATCTGACCATCCATCATCTGACATCTTTTCCTTTCAAAACAAACTGGAATATCAAGCCAATCACAACTACAACTCAAAACGATAATTATTATTAGATATATCTACGATCCACTGGACTGACTATCACCTATCACTGTAAAGGCAAAACAATTATTTCAAAAAACATGGCTCACAAATTTATCATGGGATGACGCACTAACTACGGACATTTGGAACGAGTGGATCCACCTTCGGGAAGACCTGAAAAACATAAAAAATTTTGTCATTCCACGGCATATTGGAGACACAGGCACAGGAGACTCGTTTCAATTGCATGGGTTATGTGATGTATCGGAGTCGGAGAAGGCTTACGCTTGTTTTGTTTACGCGGTGTCAAAAAACAGTAAAGGCGAGTACCTATCAAGATTGATAGCGGCAAAAACAAAGTTGGCACCACACAAGAATAAATTATCATTACTCAGAATAAAATTACTCGGTGCTTTATTACTATCACAGCTTATGAATAAAACTGTTAATTCATTGGCTATCGAAGATATTAAAATCAACTCATGGACCGACTCTATGGTAGTCTTGGGGTGATTCCAAGGAGATTTATCAAGATGGAAACAGTTTGTGGCTAACAGAGTCAAAGATATATTAGAGATCATACCATCAACATCATGGCGTCATGTGAAATCAGATGACAATCCTGCGGATTGTGCAACTCGAGGTGTCGACAACGACACAGCTGTCTTGTTATTCTCTGTGGTGGCAAGGGCCAGAATGGCTACGTAAAATAAATAGTGATGAGATCATTCCTTTTACCTACCCAACCCCATCAATTGAAGAAAAGAAGTCCAGTGTAACCGTAGCCTTACAATCAGATATACCTTCATTCGTAATACAGTTATTAAACGACAATACCTCTATCAGCAAGGTAACTAAGACAATGGGCTGAGTGTCGCGCTTTATAACACGCGCACGCGCCACTAAGCAACATGATCCGTCGCCGCCGCCGTATGATAAAGTCTTATCGTCTATCATTATCCCTCGCTGTCTCTTCTCGAGAGGTGCAAGATGTACCGTGGACACGTACGTATTCCATGCCAACTTAGCAATCTTAACAATACACCACTTTTCGCGCCAGTACTCGGCGTGCATTTTAAGCATTCATATCAAGCAGTCATTTACTTTATCATTTATAATTTCTTAACAAATATATCATATCATTGCAATTTTATATCATTTATATCATATATCATCAAGTGTGGGATTTACACCCCACACTACGAATTTATAAAACGATGTTTATTAATGAAACGCAAAATATAATTTATCGCCCCTTAAAAAGGGTTAAATTATTACATACTAATTGTCGTTTTGTTTGGCTGATCGCAGTTTTATGTATAGGATATTTCATTGTAATATTAATATATTTTAGAATGATGGTTACGCGGAAACGATTCATGTATTCTAATTTCGTTCGAGGGTATATTTGCCAAGTGTTTACCCATCCTTTGACCTAATATCCCTTCCGTACACACTGAAAGGGGAAAGGGGGGAGTCTAGAAGGTGACGCGATTCTTTCGATCAACGAGAAGCGCACCCGATCGAGGGCTTGGTGGGAAAAGCCGAGACAATAAAGGCTCGCGCGCGGCCCTCGAGCAGCCTCTTTCTTCGTACCACTGGCCTGGATCGCATCTCTGGGGCGCCCCAGAAGAACCCACCTCACGATGCATCACCGCAACGAAGGCGTTGTCCGCCGCATCAAAATTACACCCCCGTAAATGTGTTTTCCCGTAATTTTGTTCCTACTTGAGCATTTTGTTTGCTAGTTAACCCACCCCATTTTGTTTCTCCTAATGTACTCAAGTAGAATTCCATCCTAACCTTGGCAAGCAATAGATTTGGAAGAGCGAGTGCATTGTCCAAGGTGCCGCGTGCCACGTCCGCCATCTTGTTGAGGCATAAGAAGCCAACCGCGCATACAGTCCACCTAGTATAACATCTCGCACAATAGGGTCAAGGCTCAACCTGGGAATCGAACTCGGGAACCCTTAGGCCCGCCGCCCAACCAAATGACATCCATTAGTTTTGAATAAATCGTAAACATACATAAGTAATAAAGTAGTTACTACCATAAAGAACTGCCAAAGTTAATTAGTTTTTTTATTCGCTTTTAAAAAAGTGTAATCTTACCTACTCCAAATTAAGGCTCTGGTACTGCACCAGCTTTCATAGCCCACTCTTGCTTTTAAAAATGTACGAAGCACTTAAATGGATGAAACAAATGAAACTCCTGATGCTGGGCTCCCAGTTGGGAATATTCATTGCTACTATACATTTATTAGCAAATTCATGGCTTCGACGGCTTTACGGCAAAGGTACGGCTTAAATTAGAAAAGCATTTAAATCCTATTCACCCTTATTATGGTGTATATGTATATGTACCTGTATAAAAAGGCTATTCAAAAGTTTTATTTTAGATAATGATCCATATGGGTTATTAATACTCTAATTATAAGTATTATAATTATTTCCAAAGAAATTATGTTATTAAAAATATTCCAGTACAAGGTGGGACAGCCCTAGCTCTAATTCGGAGAAAACCCGAAGCGCGAGGCGCGGAGCACCTGCTATGTTGCCCCGACTGCCCGCCTTCCGCTTTGACATCCTAAGCAATTTTGTTAAAATCTGTGTTTTCTTATCGAAATTCTACATACCGATGAAAAAAAATATCATTGTTCTTCGTAGTTCCTTTTTTTCTAGGGCTTCCGTGAATTGTTTTTATAGCTTGGCACTGCACCTTTGACAGTCTTTTTTACACATTTCAATTGCACTTATCACACCTTTCAGAGATAAAAATAATGTGCGTGACGATTCGTAATTAATAACGTCGACCTTGCCGTTTCGAGACTGTTCATACCCGTGTTTACTGAACATACTCGCTATCGCACTCTCTATAGCTTCTTATGGTCGGCCACATACATACAGAATTCCGTTCCGAGATCCGTTTCAGAATTCCTAAACGAAACGTATGGGTCGGCCACACACATACAGATTCCCGTTTTGTCCGCAAAATTTAGAACGGAAAAATAACGTAGGTGTGTGACTTTTAATTTATATGGACTTGCTGCGCTCGGAATCCCGAATCGGTATTCCGAAACGGAATTCCGTATGTACCTGTTTGGTGGGGCTTAGAATACTCTAAGGGTTATGATATGGATTGTAAAGATAAGGAGAACAATCTTTCATAGGAGAATAGTTGAAAAAGTGTCCATCTGTAAGCAATAAATAACAGTTCAAAAACTCTCCACAACAGCGCTGGAGTAGCTACAGGAAACAGCTACATGAAATGAACTTAGCAGTTGTCGACGGTGTGAAGTGTGCTGCTAAACTGCTCAGTAGCTCTAAAATTTAAAATTATTTTATTTAGTAAATAAAACCTTGAAAAAGTCGTCTATTCAACTAATATTTTTCGGCGCGTTCTTTAAAATTTACCTCGTAGTTATAGTAGCGCCACCCTTGTTTAACCGTTTTCTACGGATATTTTTAATACACAGTCTGTACTCCTTAACTCTACCGTAGACAGAGAAACCTAGGTTTCTCCGTCTACGACCTCTACACTACATAGTTTATGACCTTTTTTAATAGATTCTTGTGCACAGAACCACAAACTAATAAGAGTACTAACGTAGCACAGAACACTAATACCCTTAGGTGTGATTATCCGTTATCGATTTTTCAATATGTCAAATGATGTCAAAGTGTAGTTAAGTACCTACTGAAAGCTAACCTGCAAAGTTACTGATAAAATGATTTTTTTATTATTTAAGCATGGAAATATGTAAAATATTACTGAAAGCCTATTAATGGTATATGTTTTGCAATTATATTTCCCGTGTCGAAATGTTAAAAATGTTGAGGGCTGTGTCCAGTATTTATATTGAGAGTCAAGCGTTCGCTGTAGTCAGACGTGATGTAATTAAATTATTTCGTAAGTATTAACCAAAATTTTGATGTATTGTACCTCAAACATCCTCTGCCGAACTTCCGATTACAAACACAAAATTTATTTCATCTACTAGAGGGCCGCTTTTTGGATTCGTAATTACAGCTAACTTTAATGATTATCCTTCAGCATTTTAGTAAAATAATTATAGTTAAGGCATTTAGTGTTAGTACGTACAATGAATCGAAACATTTTGAAGTAATTTTCTGTATAATTGCTTGTCTATTCTCATAAGACAAAGCTTGATTGTTATGTTTAAAGTGTTCAATAGTAAAGTGCACACAAATGATATACCTTTACGAAAGCTTAAATTTACTATAGCTTTACCATTCCCTCTTATCTTGAAGGCACAAACATTGTAATTAGAGCACAGAGAACCTCATTGGTGTAAGAATTACAAATGATGAAGCAAATCATTTACACGGAATATGTGAAATGCTGTCAGGTGATGGTGTAAGAGAATTCATAACTCCATTTATCCCATGGGTGTAGTAAATAATTCATTTGTATGGTAATGTATACTAGAGATGGTGCAGACCTGATCAGCAGTCAATAGCACTCTCAGAGTCAGGAAGTTGTTAGTTGTTTTGGCTGAGTTTGCCATAAAAGGTAGATATTTTGATGGTCTAGATCAGGTGGTGAACCTTTATGTATCAACATGCCATTTTTCTAAAGAATTGTTTAATTAGGTAATAGACATGCAGTAAAATAATTTTGACTTCTTGATTATTGGGAAACTAATAGTACAAAATACTATCGACCCCAAAACTCTTTATTTACTACAAAAATAAATAAAAAGTTGTGAATTGAGATATTCATTTGTTTCAGTTATACACATAATTAAAATTAAAGTAACATCAGTGTGACTTCCGTTGTGTCCAATTAGATGCAAAATAACTTATATTGGGATTGTAAATTCATAAATATAACACAAATGATCTTATAAATACAATTATGTCAGTAAAATTGACTATTATACTATGTGTAAATGAACTATGCATTCCTTGGGGGAGGGGTGTACTTGTGAAGGGCTGTAATGATGATGATGATGATAAAACAATAAAATATGTGTGGCACTCGGTGACTGCCGCGGTAAAGCTATTGCATAGCATTTTTTATCAACTTATGCAATTATAATTATTTATTTATTTTATTTATGCAGTTAACCTTTGATATTAAATCAAGTTACACTTTTTGAGCGTGGTGACCGATAAGAAAACATTTTTTTTTCTCTTATTGAATAAATGAGAACTTAATATTGTTTAAAATATTTTTAATATCTTACAATACATGTAGGTTATTCAGGAATTTTTATCATTGAGTTAGCAGCTAGTGTACATGCACACAAACACCGTGCCGAAGTCTGGCGAGTGCCGAAGTCTGCCGAACTGAAACAACGTTAGACGATGCACGGCTTTCAACGCCACACCTCCGTGCCCGTCGGAGTGGGGAGCGTGAGGTTTTTTCGTTACGGAATTTCTGAATTCGGTCCCCGCGCTCAAGGCCCGCGATAGAAGCTATGCTATAGCTAATAGCTTAACTATGTGTCATTAGCAATAGTAGTCCATGATGTAACTATGATCACTTCCATTTGTTAATATAATATTTCATAGTGAACTTTGTGATGAGTGACGTGCCCAAACTATTGCCATTGGTTCGCCATCCCTGGTCATCATGTTCAAGTTAGTGCATTTAATCATATTTTCTGTTATATTTCATAGTAATCAATTTACTCTTTGATAAACTTGTGTGATTTTTTTTGCTATTTATTTTAAAATAATTTAGTTAGTAGTAGAATGGTAAGCATTTAGCTGAATTGCACTGGTGATTGGTTTTTGTACTGATTTTATGGGTTCAATGTAAATTTCATAGTAGGGTTTACTCTGGACACTACAGTACTCAAGACCACTTATAATATGGCCTCCCCCAAGTAATGCCACAAAGCACGGTCCTGAGCCACCTGCATCCATCGACTTCCTGCATATCTTACCAGGTCGTCACTCCATCTAGTGGGGGGTCGCCCTACACTACGCCTACCGGTACAAGGCTGCCACTCGAGAACCTTTCTTCCCCATCGGTTATCGGTTCTTCGAGCTATATGGCCGGCCCATTGCCACTTCAGCTTACTAATCCGTTGGGCTATGTCGGTCACTCTGGTTCTACTGCGGATATCCTCATTTCTGAGTCTATCACGCAGAGAAACTCCGAGCATAGCCCTCTCCATAGCTCGCTGAGCGACCTTGAGCGTCCTCATACGGCCAGCAGTGAAGGACCACGTTTCAGATCCATAAGTCATCACTGGCAACACGCACTGGTTGTACACTTTAGTTTTCAGAGATTGAGGTATACCTGACGAGAAGATGTGTCGTAATTTCCCGAACGCTGCCCAGCCGAGGTTGAATCCGTCGATTGACCTCTCGGTCGAAGTTGGACTTACCTAGTCGGACTATTTGTCCCAGGTAAACGTACTCGTCAACAACTTCGAGCATAGTGCTCCCCCACAACTACCGGCATAGGTGTGACATGGACATTGAACATAATCTTTGTTTTGTCCATGTTCATCTTAAGACCTATCCGTTGGGAGACACCATTGAGGTCATTGAGCATAGTGCTAAGGTCCTCCAGCGATTCTGCCATAAGGACTATATCGTCGGCAAATCGAAGGTGAGTGATGTACTCGCCATTGATGTTAATACCGTATCCTTTCCAGTCCAGTAGCTTGAAAACGTCTTCCAAAGCAGCGGTGAAGAGTTTCGGGGATATAACGTCACCCTGTCTTACACCTCTCTGCAGTTGGATAGGTTTCGAGCTCTGGTTCTGTACTCGGATAGCCATCGTAGCCCTACTGTACAAACACTTCAGCACTTCGATATACCGACAGTCAACTTGGCACCGCTGAAGGGACTGCAGCACCGCCCAAATTTCGACGGAATCAAAGGCTTTCTCATAGTCCACATACGCCAGGCAAAGTGGCAAATTGTACTCTTCAGTCTTCTGTACAATCTGCCGCAGGGTATGTATGTGGTCTATGGTACTGAAGCCTTTTCGGAAACCGGCTTGTTCGGGAGGCTGGAAGTCGTCGAGTCTGCTTGCGAGACGATTCGTAATGACTCTCGAAAACAGCACGTAGACGCGGCTCAGAAGGGAAATCGGTCTGTAGTTCTTCAAGAGAGCGTTGTCGCCTTTCTTAAAGAACAAGACCACCGCACTTCTGCTCCACGCCTCTGGAGTAGGGCCACCATGGAGGACGGAATTGAAGAGCTTCTGAAGGACTTCAAGTACCGGTGTTCCACCCGCTTTCAGAAGCTCCGCTGTAATTCCATCCTCGCCCGGGGCCTTGCCGTTTTTAAGGTGTTGGAGAGCCATTCTAATCTCGCTCAGACTGACGTCCGGGATATCATTGGAATAGTGTCGGATAAGACTTGCTCTTGGATCGTTACTCACATTTGAGTGTGGCTCCAACGATGATGTGTACAGCTGCCCATAGAACCTCTCAATCTCACTCAGAATCTCAGGTGTCCCGGAAACGATGTTGCCACACTCAGTCTTCAGCTTTGACAGTTGGCTCTTTCTGGCAGACAGATCTCTGGCAAAGACTTTGGAGCCCTGGTTCCGCTCGATCGCTTCTTTAATACGAGAAGTATTAAAGTTGCGTAAGTCTCGCCGCATGCATTTGGAGATCTGTCTGTTCAGTTGCCTGTATGCTGTCAAATCTGTTGACGATTGCAGCCTCATCTCCCGTCTAACAGCCATGAGATTAAGAGTGTGATCGGAGAGTTTTTGTGTTCTTCTGCGGCGGGTCTTGCAGAACTTAGCTCCGACCGCATGGACAGTTTCCACGAGCTTGTCATTCATATCGTCCACTGCATTGCAATCTTGTAGGCACTGAAAGCGGTTGTGTAACTCGAGCTGAAAGTTTTCGGGATTCTGGATTAGAGCACGAGGGGGACGTAAGACGGACGGAGAATAGAATAGAATGATTTTTATTTAATATATACATAATATAGTTCAGTATATTACATAATACTTATTGAAAGTAATTTTTTTATAAGGCAAAACTTAACATTTTAAATCTGGACACAATGTTTTTGATGTGGGTGTTAAATTGTAATATTTGGTCAATTAAAACTCCTAGGAGTCTCATCTCCACGATCTCATGGCGACATGGAGACAGCGACTGTCGCAACCCCGTGCTGGGCACGCCACTATAGCGGCGATAAGACCCCTCTTTGAGGAGTGGCTTGAGAGACGCCACGGCATCCTCACCTTCCACCTGACGCAGGTCCTCACCGGACACGGTGTGTTCGGGAGGTTCCTGCACCGAATCGGGCGGGAGGAAACGCCCGGGTGCTCCCACTGCGAGGATGGACCGGAGGACACGGTGGAAGACACCGTGGAGGTGTGCCCTGCTTGGGCGGAGCACCGCCGTGTCCTCGTAGCGGCGATAGGCGGCGGCGACCTCTCGCGTCCGGCCCTGGTCGTAGCCATGGTCCGGAGCGAGACGGAATGGGATGCCGTCACCACCTTCTGTGAAGCAGTGATGCTAGCGAAGGAGGTGGCGGAGCGGGAGAAGGAGAGAGCAGCAGCTTTCCTCCCCGGCCGCCGCGGGAGATGCCCCGGGCGTCGGGGGCTACGTCGTGGCCCCCGGCCACAGTAGGCGCGGGCCTGTGGACGGCGAGCAATGGGTAGCTCGCCGTCCGTCCGTCTAACGACGACAGACCGTGTCGACGGCGCGTTTTGTTCCACGTGCGCCTCAAAGAGCTTTCAGCAGCGTGAAGGGGCCCGCAAGGGCCGACACCTGCCGGGGTTGCGGGCTGTTCGAAAGAGATACCGCGGCTCCGGAACGTAAGGGCACTGAAGGAACACGGATGGTTTTTAGTCAGTAAAAGTCTGACACTCCCTTACGCTCCACCCAGAGCGAAAGGCGTCATTAGATGATTTTCCATCTGCAAAAAACAAAAAAAGGAGTCTCATCTCATTAAGGAATAAGATTAGTATTTGAAATGTATTATTTTAATATGGTGTGGAGAATGGCATGTTTTTTCCTCATAAACAAGATCTGTGTGCATTTATCGACATTCAGTGACATGTGATTTTAGGGTAAAAGTTAAAAACAAGTCATCTTAATAGGGGGTGTGGGATGAGATACCTTTTCCCCCTGCTGGAGGTGTGTAGCTTTTTTATATTAAATGTTAAGGATTAAAATTTTCATTGTATTATTTTTGACAAAAATCACCTTAAAAGGGAGGCGGGGGGGGGCCCCCCCTCCGCCGAAGTAATACTAAAGTGTAGACGATGAAGCTACGGCACTATTTCTGCTTATTTTATAAAAAATAATCAGGAAGGGGATGGCGTCCCTTTCTAATCTAACCTGTCAGAGTCAGGGTGACCCAAGTCGCAAGCTCGCTTTGTTCGCTCTGTCACCCATTTTCAATAATGGATCCTTATTATATTTTATAATGTTCTGCCTCCACAAGTACTCCACTATCGCATCACCGAAATTCTCTGGATTTTTGTAACTATATTTTTTAAAGCACTTCACGGCTCTCCATTCTTTGCTTGCTCAATCCTTTGTGGGTGCACCCGTGTCCCACTACACAGTCATATGCTCTCCAATAATCTGTGTGTACGAGGGGTGATCCAAAAGTAATGATAATCGGTTACTTCAGGTCCGCATAAAAATCCAAAAAAAAATATTTTTTGCTTGCTTATATACTCACTACGTCAGCCTAAAAAAATCATATAAATAGATCACGATTTCCGGGAGATACATTAATTTGAATACGAACTGTCAAAGAGATAACATCAACATGGAGAAAAACGAAATTAGAGCTGTCATCAAGTACCTCTGTTTGAAAAAAATGTCTTCAAAAGACATAAACAGTGACTTAGTGGAAACATTGGGGGACTCTGCTTCTCCATATTCTACAGTTGCACGCTGGGCCAAGGAGTTTAAACTGGGAAGAACATCCACTGAAGACGAACATCGCGAAGGATGCCTATCCACATCCCTCACTGAAAACAACATGAAAAAAGTCGAAGATGTTGTGTTGGCAGATCGAAGAGTGATTATCAGGCATGTAGCTGAGGTCACAGGGATCTCATATGGCAGCGTTCAAAGAATCCTTGCGAACGAGTTGCATATGAAAAAGGTCTCTGCGCTTTGTGTACCCAGAATGTTAACCGACGAGCAAAAGAAAAAACGAGTTGACATTTCGAGGGTCAATCTCGAAAAGTTCCAAGCAGATCAAGAAAATTTTTTGTTCCGGTTTGTGACTATCGACGAGACCTGGATCCACCATTTTGATCCTGAAACAAAACAACAATCGATGACTTGGAAGCGAGCATCCTCACCGACGCCAAAGAAATTCAACATTTCAAGTTCGGCTGCAAAGGTTAAGGTATAATTATGGTAGAATATTTGGAAAAGGGAGCCACTATTACGGGCTCTTACTACGCAGACCAAATAAGAAGATTACGGGAGGCCAAGGAAAAAAGACGCGGCAAACTGCGAGCTGGAGTGCTGTTTCACCAAGACAACGCACTGGCTCACAAAGCCGCAGTTGCGATGGCTGCCATTCAAGAAACGGGATTCGAACTGCTCGATCACCCTCCCTATTCGCCAGATCTAGCTCCTAGTGACTTCTACCTCTTTCCTCGGCTCAAGGAACGCCTCCGAGGCAAGAAATTCGAATTCGAAATTCGAATCTTATGAATATTTCTAGAAAATGATTTTAAATATTTCGACGCTGCTCCAGCAGTTAAAATTGCATGGAGGCGCCTGATATAATCCCCCTTGACCACCCCACAGTGATAGACTCCTCAAATTCACGTGACTTCCCAACCCAATTGTAGCGTGCTAAAACAATTTACATCTTCTTGCGAAGAGTACATAGCTTTGTGAATATGGCGTTCATGCTTATATTGAAGCTAGATTCAAATGATGCATGAGGGTCATGAATTGAATTTTTTTGTTTAACATGGTACAATTTTATTGACTACTAATGATAGTGAATAATGAACAAGGTAATAAAAATGTAGCTACAGTGCAAAGCTACCTTCTGTTATTTGTTAGTACTTGGAGGTCAGCGGTGATCAAAATTACCTTAAAATTATTTAATTTTAAATTAGTAAAACAAAGTCACTTCACATTAACTATATAAATATTATGTTTACTGTTACCGAATTGCGTTAAAAGTCCACTGCTGAACATTGGAACCCCCACAGATTGCCCCATGGGATATATTCCATAGTTGCCACGCTTGGCAAGCGGGTTGGCAACCATAGTTTTTTATTGTTAGTCATTATTGGGAAGATGCTGCTGCCCATCTCCTGATTTGTTTCTGTCTGTTGCCTGTTACGACACCCACGGATGATATGGGATAGTGGATATTCTTACACCGCCACTATGTGGTATGTTTAATTAAATTAAATCCTATCATATTTCAGGCACTACAGCATATTCGGGAATCACCTCAAATCAGGTACTTTTTGATTATTAACAATGAATCATTATAATAAAAAAAATATTAATAAATATTAATTATTATAATTTTAATGCAAGCATCCAAGGAAATTTAAAAAGTATAAAACGGTAATACAATCTTAAACACTATTTATTGATAATTGAATAGCTGTTTGACAAGAAGTTTAAGATTAATGTAAAATTATGTGTTATACTAGACTGTTTTGGCTGGAGCGAGCTCATCAAAACAAGAGCCAGTTCCATTGCAGTCTACACCATCACCACCAGCCCCTCCCTCCCAGCCCCCGCCACGAGGACCGCGACGCGGCTGGTTCGCCGCTACCGCCGTAGCGCTCACTGCTTCTGTTGGAGGGGTAATAAAGACAGGATCCTTATTATTTTTATGATATTTTTATGCTTAGGCCATAATAATGTAATATGATCTTTTCCATACAGAATTTCAGTCACAGAGGCCAGTCGCAATGGAGGCTCGCCATCTGCATAGAACAAGATTATTGTCCCCAAGTGTATGCGCAAGCACGGGTGCACCCTCTGTTCCTTTACTTTCATAGTCTGATGGGGTGGTGATCCGACACGACCGTAAAGAGATCAGGCGCGGGAATGGAAACACCGCTAACTTCTTGGCTCTCGGCTTCTACTGAGAATTTCTTGACAGAAAAACCCATTTGACAACTCCTTGGCGCAGTGGCTTAGCAGCAGCTTATGAGCAGCGCTAAAAGGCGCGGGTTAGAATCCTGCACGGGACAAGTATTTGTATACATACAAATAATTTTTCCGGATCTGGATGTTGGTCCTTGAGAAATTTATGTATGTAACCTGCCTACATAATATAGGAGAAAATCCTAGTGTAGAGGTAATGTTTAAAAAAAAAAAACCTCTAACTTATTTTAGCTCCACCGGGATCGGAACCTAGGACCTCATGATCAACAACCATATTTACAATTACTGGACCAACGACGTAGCCATAAGCAGCTTAGTAGTTCCATTCACATAGGAATTTCTCCCTACTCGATGGGCTCGCTCCTTTCCGGCACCAATAAAATTGTTTATTACAATTTAAAGTTAACCGTGTCGTATTAGTGTTAGAATAGTCACTATTCGTCACGAAACAGAAACAGGAGAAGGGCAGCAGCATCTTCTTGATAAGTAACGCGCATAGCACAAATAATATATTTTTTTGATATAAGATTTACAAATCATGCCACGCTGCAGCTATATTGCTGTTGTATGTATGGGTCGGTTCGACCGGGGAAGGAAACGCTCTCACAAAATACCAGCGTAAAATAGCAGCTTAATCAGAGAACCGGAGACCCGTTTTACTGGAATCGAGGCATTCCATTTTAGTCCTCAGGGGTGACAGCGCATCTGCATTTTGATTCTTAATCGAGGATAGATGTAGATGTCTATGGGCCACAGCATCCACTTACCATCAGGTGGACTGTGTGGTCGTTTGTCACCCTATGCTATAAAAAAAGGTGTGATAATGATACTTTTAATGCTTACTTATTCCTTATATAAACCAATGGATTTCGAGTTATAGGTGTACGTCTCTGTCAGGTAATTGGAATCCTTTATGCACACGAATTTATCTGAATAGGTACCGCCCAATTATCTATTTCTATCGCCAAATAGCACAGCTTGCACTTCCTGAGTTCTGGTCTGCAGGGTAAAATGAGCCAGTATAATTACAAACTGAGGCATTCCGTGTTAGTCCTACGAGAAGACACTCACATTTTTATTCCTATTTAATTTAAAAGGATTTCTTTTTGTATTCACAGGTTTATATTTATCGAAAATTGAACACTAATAAGGAGGAGCAGCAATTGCAGTTGGAAAGTGAGTATCCTAAAATCAAAATGTAGAGCCATGCTGCAGCTATATTAGTAGTATAGTTGTAGTGCAAATGGGCCGGCTCGACCGGGGAAGTATTACGCTCTCACAGAATACCAGCGTAACATAACAACTCAATTCTGCATTGTTTAATATGGTGAGTGTAGAGAATTGAAGACCCTTTTTACTGGAAAAGAGGAATTCCATTTTAGTCCTCAAGGATGACAATGCATCTGCATTTTGATTCGTAGTTGAGGATAGTTGTAGATGTCTATGGGCCACAGCAACCGCTTAACATGAGGTGGATTGTGTGGTCGTTTGTCACCCTTATCTTATTTAAAAAAATGTTTTAGATTTCTGATTATCATTATCATTATCATTACAGACTACCATAAGTCCACTGCTGAACATGAGCTTCCATTATAGATTGCCTAGTAGAGGGGGGGGGGGGGGAATATATTTTCTATAGTTGCCATGATTAGCAGATGGGCTAGGAACTGCATTTTTTTAAAATTTTTTGTATAAGAAATCTGCTACCCATCTCCTGTTCCATTTCTGTGATCATTGAGCTATTATGTACTACGTACTAGAGGCGACACTGCATTCAGCTACTCCGTTCCACTCAACTGCGGTGCATACACCGCACTTTAATCAGTCACTCGCTAGGCGCTTATAGAGTTGACACGTGTTGTGTTGATTTAAAAAAAAATCTCTTGATAAAAATATGCCGTCGTGTGTACTTAGATATTGCACAAATAATTCAAGAAATGTCAGTAAAAACCAAGGAATTACTTTTCATCGGTTAATATGATACTTAATCAATAAAAAAGTATTATAGATTTATAATAAAACAAATGATTCCTAAAACGCCATCTCGTGTCATGGAATATAGATTATGAAATTAATATGTTCAGATGCGACATTTCTGTGGGTACTTAAGAATAGGACGAATATATTATTATACACATTTTTTGTAGAAGCATATATAAGTTATTATAATATGGCAAAAATGTTCATGTTTAAATCTGCTTATTACTCTTTTATTTTATTTTTAGGTTTCCACTTTAAAGTCAAAGTGGAATAAATTCGTCCAATTTTAACATGCGTGCCCAGCATTTATGAACGACTCTTATTCTAATTTAAATAAACATGTTTGTAATTTATATGTTATGTTAATAAGTTTTGTTAAACATACATTTAGTATGATTATTTTATATTTGACATAGATAACTTTTAAAATATTTAGATAAAAATATCATTAAAATGTAATTGTGATATAATATTATGTAATAGTATAAAATAGATATAATATACAAATAAATGACAAAAATATTGTTCTCGATATAATTTACCTTAACAATACAATCTACTATTACCTACGGGTCATTCTACCTATGTTTATACTATGATAAAAAAAACACCCGCGCGAACACAGAGTGGCGCACATTTTTTGTTTGAGATATTGTTCTAGTACGTAAGTACATATTACTTCAATGATTGCTATTTTCCCTTTTTTAAACGTTACCTCCACACTAGGATTTTCTCCTGTATTGTGGGGGCAGTTTACAAACATAAATTTCACAAGGAAAAACATCCAGATCCGGAACAATTAATTGTAGGCCATACAAGTACTTGTTGCGTGCGGGATTCGAACCCGCGGCCCTTAGCGCTGTAACTCATTACTAAACCACTGCGCCACGGAGCCGTATTGCAATATTGTATTTATATATTGTATTGCAATAAATATTATATATTTATATATTGTATTGCAATAATATATTGTCTTTTTCGTTTTTTTTTTTTTTTTTGCGCCCGAAGCAATTAAAGGGCTACCCTATACGTAGGGAGGCGGAAAATGCATTACGCATACCACGATAGCCGGTCTATCGTGGTTATGAGGGGCTCACTGTCCTACCGGGGACCCTAAGTGATACCCTCTAAAAAACCGCCTTTGGGGACAGGCAACCGGCTGATTAAGCTCTATTGTGCCTTATCATGAGCGACCCTCTTTTGGGAAAAGAGGGCGCAAGCGGCTAAGTGCCGCTGAGGGAGTGCCTACGAAGGCAAGTTAATGTTAGATATTACAATAATTTTATTTAATTAGAGTTGGCCTGAGCTGCCAGGAGACAGTTCAGGTCGTTTGAAAGTTTATTAGGCGGGTCCGAGAGAGAGTTTCTCGGCCTGCGGACACGATAGCGAGAGGGGGGTGGGGCTGCATAAGAAGCTGCCTCACGAATTAAATGGTTTAGGTGCGACTCTGAGGCTTTGAAGAAGTTCTCAGAGAGTTTTTTAAGAAATTGTTAAATTGTTGGGAGCTCTAAGTCCCGATGAAGGTCGGCATTGCGGACGTACCACGGTGCGTTCGCAGCTCGACGACAGAAGAGGTTCTGAACTATTTGGAGTTCATTTAAAATGATAGGGTTTGTGTGGGCAAAGACGGGGCCCGCGTAGGAGTCTTTTTCGTTTTGAGCCTCTCTTAAGGTAAAAAGAGAGAAGGATTTGTAGTCGTTTTCAAGTTCGGCAATGTGATTAACCATTGTAACACCAGATGTTTTTTCCAAAATTCTTAATGAGAATCAGAATAAATAACATCATCACATTTCCTAGGTCTTTGTAAGATTGCGCTAGATGACTAGTGATTTCACATCTGGTGTTTAACTCTTCAATTATGATGCTCTTAAATTAACTTACAAAAATGATGCTCTTAAATTAATTATTTCATATTTAAGTGACAGAACACAAAAAGTTGTTATTAATAGTATGAGTTCTTCCGGGTCGATTGTACAAATGGGCGTGCCTCAGGGCTCAATTCTTGGCCCCTTTCTGTTTCTTGTATATATTAATGACTTACTTTACATAGTAGGGGATAACCATGATATAGTATTATTTGCTGATGATACTTCATTAATTTTCAAATTAAAACGACAGTTATTAAATTACGACGAAGTAAATAATGCTATAGCTAAGTTATTCAATTGGTTTAATGTTAATAATTTGCATTTGAATGGAACTAAAACTAAATGTATGAAATTCGTAACTTCTAATGTTAAACATGTCAATACTAATGTAATTTTAAATGGGGAGGAACTGAGTCTTGTTGATACCACCATTTTTCTTGGAATCACACTGGACGCAAAGCTTCAATGGCTCCCCCATATATCAAAACTAGCTAGCAGACTTAGTTCTGCAGCATATGCTGTAAAAAAGATTAGAACTCTTACCAGTGTTGAAATAGCTAGAATAGTTTACTTCAGTTATTTCCATAGCATTATGTCGTATGGTATTTTGCTATGGGGACACGCGACTGACACTGAAATTATATTTATTTTACAGAAGAGGGCCATTAGAGCAATATATAATTTAAAACCAAAAGAGTCACTGAGACAAAAATTTAAAGAAATTAATATATTAACTCTGGCCTCTCAATACATTTATGAAAATGTAATGTACGTACACAAAAATAAAAGTAGTTTTGCGAAAATAAGTGATATTCATTCTGTAAATACTAGGAACAGACACAAGCTGGTAGTACCAGTTACTCGACTCCACCGAGTCAGTAATTCATTCTTGGGGCGATGTATACGCTTTTACAACAAAATCCCAGAAAATATACAAAATTTGTCATACACAAAGTTCAAAAATGTTATTAAACTAAGTTTGTATAAAAAGGGTTATTATAATATTAAGGAATTTATAGATGATAATAACCCCTGGGAAGGGTGATCGCTACCAAGCTATTTCTAATTTGTCTTGTGTTGTTGATTGTAAACATGATTGTAAGCTATTATTAAAAAAAAAATAGTCCCGCTGGGTTTCTTGCTGGTTCTTCCCAGGACAGAGGTTTTTTTTTGCGAACCAGTGGTAAATTAAAAAAAGTGACCTTCAATAAGTATTTTTATAATCTACATTGAATAAAAAGTTTCTATTTCTATTTCAATTAGGCAAGGACGAGAGTGGGGAGGTAGAGGGGACCCCGATCCCGGCTAGCGCGGAGTCTCTGCCGAGTCATGTGGAGTACTTGGTGGTGGGCGGTGGTACGGCGGCCTTCGCGGCGCTACGAGCTATCCGCAGCGTGAAACCAGAAGCGCGAGTGCTGCTGGTGAGCGAGGAGATTGGTCTGCCGTACATGCGGCCTCCGCTCAACAAGGAGCTGTGGCGCGAACCTGATCTGGCGACTCGAGCGGCAGACCCCGATACCCTCGTGTTCCAGCAGTGGAACGGCAAGCGCAGGAGGTCAGTTATTGTACCATACCCCGCAACATGCCACGTTACACCATACCACGTCACACCACACCACACTACACTCATTTTTTTCTTTTCTTTATTTTATAGATTATAGAAGAAGGGGCAAACGAGCAAGCGACTTATCTGATGGTAAGTGATTACTGACGTCAAGAACTATAGCAATACCAGGGGAATTGTGTATGTGTTACTGGCCTTTTAAAAAGGTAAAAAGGTTCGAAAGAATAACCGGTGGTAAAAAATTCCACAAAAAATATCTTGCGAGGAAGTAAACTCGTGATAAATCGCACATTGTTGGACTGTCAAGCCTCCAGATGGTGTGGATGATATTGTAAGTTATGTCGCAATGTGCTTTAAATCGTTTATTTTGACGTTTCTCAGTAAATACAGCAGAAGTTATTACATATAAAAAAGTTAGTGAAATATGGCAGCTGGAATTAATCCAAGCAATTCGTCAGAGCATTCCCCGTGGTTAATGTAATGAAGATTTAAACATCTTTTCGTAGCCTCAGTGAATGGAGTCAATCAGAATGAATTCAGTAGTCAACGATTCGAGCCACTCTGTGCTGGATGCAGTCAAGTGGAAGGAGCACTGGGATGTTCCGGCCAAGAGATGAGAACAGTGTTCCATGGGAGACCGTACCTGTATCTGGTGCCGGCATGAAATACTGTTCCGACCGTGGATACGTGTTCAACCCAAGCTTTTCAGAGTTAAATTTACCTTCCCTTTCAAGTAACTGTGAAACTGTACGTCATTCGATATGCTTAGGCCGAGGATTCGTAAGTGACAATAAAATAAAAATTAAAAAAACAATACTCGTAGGAGGAGGCCTCTTTAATATGATATTCATTGTTTAGCTCTATATTTGCGTGGTGTTCCGCAGGTTGGCGTACGAGCCCAATTCGTTCTACTTGCCGACGGAGAAGTTGCGTGATGGATCCCCCGGGGCTGGAGTGGCTCGCGGCTGGACCGTGACCGCGCTGGACGTGGACAAGCACGAGGCCAAGTTGTCAGCAAGTGGCACCACCGCCACACTTACTTACGACAAGTGTCTCATCGCCACTGGTGAGATTCATCATCATAATCTACTTCTATATATGTACTAGCGATCCGCCCCAGGTTTGCACTGATGATTTCTGGATCTCGACAACAGCGCCACCTATAGGGTCCAAATGTGAATGTAAACAATCTAGGGACCCATTCAAACACAAAAATTTCATCAAAATTGGTTGAGCCGTTTTTTAGTTGTAGCAAGACAAACGAACAACAACACAAGATTTTCTATACGCTATACGCTCGATTGACTTGAAATTTAAAGTATATTCCTTTATCAATGTAGACAATCACAAAGAAAGGATTTTGAAAAATTCAATCCTGGTGTGTTCAATCCGGGAGTGAAATAAGGTGTTCCAGCAAGGTAAACCGCTTGTCATCCATACCGAATTCCGGTCACGGCGGCCAATTTTAGCCCTCTGTGCAGGACAGGATGCTCAGGTGTATTTTCTATTCCCTCATTCTCGTAGTCCGATGAGACAGTAAACTGACACGACCAGAGAGATATCGGGTGCGGGACCAACGATTTTACGGTTGGTCATTTGTTACCTTCCTTTTATAAAAAAATGTACAGCAGTGCGTTAATAGTAAATACCTACGAGCGGTGTCATTGGTTGACATCAAAGGCATTTCGAAACTTTTATACTGTTTTTAAACTAGGAGTATACATAGAAGTGACTGCTTCGTTGGTTTAGTGATTGTAAATGAGGTTAATCATCCACGAGGTCCCGGGCTCGAATCCCAGGTTGGACCAGAATCAGTTATTAGGTTTTTCTGTCATGAAATTCTCAGTAGGAACCCAAAGTAAGCAAGTTGGCGGTGTTTCACCTCCGTGGCTCGGGAATCACGTAAAGCCGTTGGTCCTTCGCCCGATCTCTCTCCGGTTGCGTAAAATTACTCAACTCAACTTACTCGTGTACTATAATCCTGTCCTGTGCTGATTAGCCATCCAGCCTGATCACGGCGGCTAGTCTCAACTGAGATACCTAGATGGCTCCGTCCGATCACGGTGGCTAGTCTCAACGTAGTCTGGCTACTCTCCGTTGAGACTAGCCACCGTGAACCTAATTCGTCTGGAGGATATTATTATTGTTATGTCTATATTATTGTTATATCCTTCTCCAATAAGTTAATCCATCTAGGATTTATTAACAGCAGTTATTGCTGGCGCAAGTGTGAAGCGTTGCGCGCAGTCACCTCAAACAGCAGATCAGAGCACCTTCAAAATGCAGATGCTGACAACGCATCTGCATTTTGATCCTTCCCCTGAGGACTAAGATAGAATACTTCGTTTCCAGTAAAAACTTTGCACTTGCATCAACACTTGCACCACTAAAAAACAAATGCAAACTCATGTCGCCAAATGACATTGTTGTGTTCCGGCATGATGCTCGGTGAAGCCCTATGGAGAATGGGTCTGAACAGTGGCGTTGTGTGTGTGAACCGAGTGCGAAGCTTCAGTTGTCGATGTGTCGGGTGCTTGGATGTTTGGGGTGGCGGGATCCGAAGCACGGTATTCCGCTGGCCGACCGCAGGTAGTTTGGGGCCCAATTAGTGAATTAGCTGCTCATGAAAGGCTGTCCCCGCAGTCTCCAGATCAAGTTCCCATGGGCGCAGTAGCTCTGTTAGTATCGTTTGGTTGCTAATGCAACGTCTCGTTCAACTAGAATTCTCCATCCTTATTCACTCTTAACTCTGTCAATATGTGGCAATTAAGGAAATGTATGGCTCAACAGCAGTTGCTCGTCTTCTCATTAAAAGTGCATGTCAGTAATATTCGAGGCTTGCACTGTAATCTCAGCGCAGTCTTCTGTTCTCAGACCTGCTGACTACAAACGAACCAAACAGGTGTAGCGGCGCTGTCGTCGCGCCACAAGCGAAAACACACCGAAGCCTAAATCGCGCTATCAACATTCCGAATCATAAACAGTATATATAGAACTTCTCCGAACTATCACACGGAGTGTCGGCCGCTCCCCGGGCAGAACACCTTGCCCGGCGGGAGATCTCCCCTTTTCCTTCCACGGCCACAGTGGTGACCCCGACGTGATCTGAACACGCAACCAACAACCTTCGGAAAACTTCAAGCTTCCTCAACGTCATAGAATACCCCACCCATTCGCTCCCGAGCAGATATCGTCTGCAGTCTTCATATCCTGCAAGTCACCTAGCTTCACAAGGTTCATCGCAGCACTGGAATAATAATGCTTCCTGTTCCTTCAAGCTACTCTCTGCGCCATACAGTGTTCGGCACGGCTCTGAGCCTTACTGCTCGCCTCTGCTTCACGGCACTCTCGCAGATTACTTGCCTTCTTCTCGACTCACCGCAGACTACAAGGCAATCTCCTGGCACTTGCACATTCGTCGGCAACGAGGCTGCACTATCGACCTCCGGTCTGAGCAGGGGGGTGATGTAGCGGCGCTGTCGTCGCGCCACAAACGAAAACACACCGAAGCCTAAATCGCGCAATTAACATCAACATTCCGAATCATAAACAGTATATATAGAACTTCTCCGAACTATCACACGGAGTGTCGGCCACTCCCCGGGCAGAACACCTTGCCCGGCGGGAGATCTCCCCTTTTCCTTCCACGGCCACACAGGTATGAAGTCCAGGTTATCTCCCCCTTTGGGTACATCTGACCACTGTTTTGGTGAAATCTGTGTCGTCACATTCTCCACCTGATTACGAGTCCCAATGTGTTCGACGAATATGGCGGTATAAGTCATCTGATTGGGATGAGATGCAACACTTTTTGCATTCTATCTTTGACGGGAGGTTTGCTTGTCTTCTACGGATCCGTCGAGTTACGCGAATTCTATAACCAATGTGTTGCGTCAAGCTATGGAGTATTTTATCCCCTTTTCTGACGCTCCCACTGGTAGCAAAGCTCGCCCATGGTTTAACGCTGAATGCGCTCAAGCTGAAAAACGCAAGAATTTAGTGTACCTATCCTGGCCGTAAACCGCAAAGCTTCGAATATTAGCTCCAAGAAGATAACTTTCAACTAGGTCACAAAGTTCTACAAAAAACCATTACGGGAAGCCAGTCTCGATCGCATTAAACATATTTGCGCAAAGCTCTGCCAGACCATCCAGTACTAGAGCTTTTTCTTCTCTTGCCAAAGCGGTCGAGACAAACTTCTATCGGCCTAAACTGTCTCCGCTGGTAAAACCGGATGACATACTGGTGCATACGGCTAAAGAGAAAGCGAACTTGTTCGCTTCTCTATTTGCCTACAATTCGCGTCTGGATAGTGGCAACCACATTGCACCTAAATTACCTCACATGTCGGAGGTTCGTATCACAAATAAGGTTCTTAAAACCTTGCGGTGTGTAGACGTGAATAAAGTTAGTGTACCAGATGGTATACCAGGTATAGTTCTAAAGACTTGTGCACCTAAGTTGTCTTCTGTGTTGACACGCTTGTTCCGCCTCTCATTTAGGACTGGAACAGTGCCAAAATCCTGGAAGCTGGCCAATTTGCAGCCTGTCCCAAAAAAAAGCAGCCATGCCGACCCTCCCAATTATCGGCCAATCTCAATTACCTCCATACTCTGCAAGATTATTGAACGCCCGCTTAATGGCATACTTAAAACAGAATGACCTCCTTAGTGACCCTCAGTACAAGTTTCGCTGAAATCGGTCAGCTGAGGACCTTCTAGCGTATGCCACACACGTATACATTTGGCACTCGAGAACAGTGGGGGCACTTGCTGTTTGCCTTGATGTCTCGAAGGCCTTTGACAGAGTTTGGCTCGCTAGCCCGTTATAGGATAAGCTTCCAGCGTACGTTCCATGATCTGATTGACTGGGTAAAGGATTTTCTGAGTGAATGGTCTCTCTGGGTAGTCTATGGCTGCTCTTCCGATCCTGTGGCGACTAAAGCCGGTGTTCCTCAGGGGTCCATTCTCTCCGCAACTCTCTTCCTGGTGCATATTAATGATTTGCTTATGCCCGATATCTATGGGTACGCAGACGATAGCACAGTTGTGCTAACGCAGAGAGATACCAACCAAGTCCTCGGGCCAGTCGGGGTCCAGTCCGAAAGAGAAGCTATGGTAGAGCGTGTGAATCTCATACTACAGGCAGTCTCCGAATGAGCTGATGCCAATCTTGTGAAATGCAACGCCTCCAAAACACAAGCATGTCTCTTCACTGCAAAAAGGATCCTGCTCACCTTGACTCCTTTTTCCCCAAATGTATCACTTTAATATACCAACCGCCCCCAGTTGTTTGGGGCGGTTGGTATAATCTGAACTTCGGGCGGTTCATTGAGTCCAAGACCAAAGCAGCTGCAAGGAAGCTAGGAAGACCTTGCAAAGGTGCGGTAATACTTCACGCCGAAGCATCTGATTACTTTATATAAAGCGCAAGTCCGGTCGTTCATGGAGTATTGCTGCCACATAACAGCTTTGGACTTAATGGAAAGGCGTGCTAAGAGACTTATTGGTGACCCGAATTTGGTTAAAACCACTCTACCAGCCTCGAACACGCGCAAGCGCAAAGTAGCTAGTCTTTCAGTTTCCTACAGGATGCATTTCGGAGAGTGTACGAAGACATTCCATAATTTAATTCCTCCCTCTCTCTTCCACCATCGGACAGCCAGACGTCCGACCAGTCTCCACCCTTTCGTGGATGACTTACCACGCATTCAGGAAAGGAGTGGAATCAGTTGCCAGCCCGTCTTTCCATCCGATTACAGTGTGGACCGATGTCTTCAAGGTAAGAGTGAATAGGCTTTTGTTAAGTCAGTGCGCTTCACCATTTTGGGCTACATCACCACTTACCATCAGGTGGGATTGTAGTTCAGCGGTGGCTTAGAATAATAAAAAAAAACAATACAAGAGCAGCAATCCGCGGATGGTCATGTTCCCGCCAAAACCCGAGCATTGACTTATTGTTTGTGTACAGCAGAGGTTGTGTGCAGGTGCGCGCGCAAAGCGCTGCGAAGCGCTGCGTGCAGCCCGCAGCGCGGGATTGGCGCTGCCACTGCGCAGCGCTCGCGACGTGGCGCGTTTAGCTGCAGCGCTGCAGCGCTCACACGCCGGCAGCGTTGTCGTGGTGGGCGGTGGTGCGCACGCCTGCGAGCTCGCCGCAGCACTTGCAGAACGACGTGAGTACTCGCTTCGTGTGTTTCCAAATAAAATCGAGATTATTTAAGTTTTTTTTCTTTGGTAATAGACTCGTAACGGCTGTACTTTTGTCAGCGTTAAATAATTATAAATTATGCTTTATAATAAAAAAAGTTAAGTTACAGCCTATAGACGTCCCACTCGTGGGCACAGGCCTCCGTTTATTTCTGAGAGTGTTTTAGGGCAAGGAATTGTCCGCCGCGATGCCCCAATGCGTGTTGGCAAAATTTATATGTCTTCGAAATATATATTTTTTTCTTATTTCTTAGACATGCAGGTTTCCTCACGATGTTTTCCTTCACCGCTGAGCACGTTGTAAATCAGCACTTAAAATTGCAATTAACAGTTTCTTTGGTGCCGGCGGGGATCGAACTCGGTTTGCTCGCGTACTGTGAAATTTACAGCGAGCGCTCACCATCTGAGCTACCACGGCTCTGCTTTTTAATAATTTCATGTAAAAAATTAATATTTAAAAATATTTTAACGGTATGTTGATGCAGGACATTGCGAAATTTCTAGCATCCTAGGATTTTATATTAACCATAACTTAAGCCAGTAGTCATTTCATACCTACAGTACTGCCGTCCTTATCAGTGGAGAAGCCACTATAGAAGCCCAGAAGCCGGGCTTGCTCTAATAAAATAACTCGTAAACTGTTTCAAACTATTTCAAATTTCCTGCGCGCTACTCTTTTCTAGGCAGGGCATGACCTCGTAGCATATAATATGTAACTTCAGCACTTGGCAGCTTGCTTTCAATTCGAAATACACTGGACTGTCAAAATTAATGAAAGCAAGAAGTTGATTTTGTCGTCTCTCAGTAACGTACTTTATAACGAATAACTGGCGAACTGAGAGGACATTACAGGATTTATATAAGAGATGGGACGGGAATAATATAGGGCGGAATGTTGCGACTTCTTGCGGAATCCAGTAGTAGCAGTGTGGTTGTAGAATTCTACCACTTTCTCGATTCCACAGTCAGTAATTTATTCATGGGGCGATGTATAAGTTATTACAACAGTCCTAGAAATTGTACAAGGTGTCTGTATTACCAAGTTTAAACATTTTATTAAACAAAATCTGTATAAAAAGGGTTATTATAATATAAATGAATACATATTAATAATAACACCTGGGAACGAGGTGGTCGCTTCCAAGCTGTTTCTAAAATAAATTTTGTAAATAGTTTATACAGCCTTTGTTATTGGATAGAATGTATATAGAAAAAAAAAATAGTCTTGCTGGGTATCTTGCTGGTTATTCCCAGGATATAGGTTTTTCGAACCAGTGGTTAAAGTAAAAAATGACTTTCAATAAGAATAACATGTAATATATATTGAATAAAAAATATTCTGTTTTTCGAAGTTACCTTTGTATCATGTTGTGCAGTGATCCTGTCACGGTCGCTACTATTGTACAATACGGTACAGGGGGGATATTAGGCGAGTGTTAGTTGGTGGTATAAGCATTTGGGGTTTGCAGTGCGCGACAGTGACAAGCGCGTGATGCTGGTGTTCCGCGAGGCGGCACCGCTGGCGGGTGAGCTGCCGGGCTACCTGGCCGCGCACCTGGCGCGCGCTCTGCAGGCACTCGGCGTGCACCTCCTGCCCAGCTGTGAGCCACTTGACCACCACACTCTGCCCACTACACTTCCCACTACAGTGCTCACTACACTATTCACACTACACTTTGCTCTATACTCTGCTCACTTTACTCCTCCCACTACATTCTTCATACTACACTCTGTCCACTACACTATGCTCACTACATTCTGCCCACTACACTCTGCTCACTACTTGTTTGTTGCTCACTATACTCTCCACTTCACTGTGCCCACTACAATCTGCTCACTACACTCTCCACTTCATTGTGCCCACTACACTCTACTCACTACAATCTGCCCACTACACTCTGCTCACTACACCTGCTCACTACACTCTGCACACTACACTCTGCTCACTACACTCTCCACTTCACTGTGCCCATTATAATATGTTCACTACACTCTGCCCATTACACTCTGCTCACTACATTCTTCCCACTGCACTCTTTCCACTACACTCTTCGCACTACACTCTTCTCACTACACTTTGTCTACTACACTCTGCCCACCTCACACATGCCCACTAATACCAATAGAAGGAATATATATTCGCGATATTTGTCACGCTTGGCTAGCAGGGTGGCCTGCAAACTTTTCCCTCTGTCGGTTTTTACGACACACACGGAATGATATGATGTATTGAATTCTCTTACTTAGATATTACGCGGCGATTTAAAACTGTTTTAAATATCATCGTTTTCGTCTAAGATTTTTATCTCTCCGAGAAGTACTGGTTAACCTACTTCAGGGTAGATAAAGATTTATGCGTGTAGATTTATACGTGGTAGAGCCATGCTGCAGTTATATTAGTAGTATAGTTGTAGCACGAATGGGTCGGCTCGACCGGGGAAGGACCACGCTCTCACAGAATACCAGCGTAACATAACAACTCAGTGCTGCTGTGTTTCGTGTGGTGAGTTTAGAGAACCGGAGACCTTTTTACTGGAAACGAGGTATTCCATTTTAGTCCTCAGGGGTGACAACGCATCTGCATTTTGATTCTTGATGGAGGATTGATATAGATGTCTAAGGGCCAAAGTATTCACTTAACAGCAGGTAGACTGTGTGCTAGTTGGTCGCCCTTATTTTATAAAAGAAATCCTCAATTAGCTACATATTTTATTGATAATATTAGGTAGCCAAACGTTTCGCTGTGTGTTTGCTTAACACTTGATTTAAATAAAAGGCTTGATTTTGTCATGCAGCCGAAGTGATCGACAGCCGTGTGAGCTCGGAACAAGTGCACCTGCAGCTGAAGAAAGTGGGGGGTGAGGACATCTCTCCGGGGAGTGAGGAAGACAGCTCGGAATTGGTAGCGTCCCTGGTGGTTGAGTGCCTGGGCAATGAGCCCAACACTGAGCTGGCAGTTTCTTCTGGTCTCGAGGTGCATCCAGACCTTGGAGGTGTCGTCGTTAACGCCGAGATGCAGGTACGCATCTTCCCCCTTATCCTCATCATCCCTTAAATGTCCACTTGAAAATTAGTCATTTCTTCTATCCTTTCTTTTGAGTCAATTCTCAATACGAGTTTTTTTTTGTATTGTTGCGCGCCTCAATTAATGCCTGGTACATGCCGATATTAGTTACCACTAGCGCCTTCTAGTATCGAGTAGCAGAACTAGGAGAGTCAAGATCCTTCTAGAAGTTTCCATGGAAGAACTTTCTAGAACTATCGACACCTAGTCAGCCGGGACCGGTATGTACTCGAACGTTCTAGATCTTTCTACAGTAGAAGGTTCTGAAACTATCTGAGGCCCTATATATAAGGCAGGTATAGACTGCGACTCGAATCAGTGTTTAATTGGCAAATCAAGCGAATACTTCGAAGCGATACAACTGCGAACTAAAGTGATCAGTAGTACAATTGTGTTTTGTTATTAGTGTGGTTTTAAGTTGTAATTAGTGTTTTGTAATTTAAGTGTCAATTTTGGTAATTCACTCGGGAGTTTCTACTGTCTCGAGCCCCAAGCTCGTAACAGTATGTAGTTTCGCGATGTCTTTACAGATTGAGAACCAATTTTAATGTTTCGTTTTTTATTAAAAAGCTGTGCCTCAAGGGCACTCTCATTAAATTTTGAAGAAAAAGAATATGTCCCCAAGGGTCGAAAATATTGGAATAAGTGTCAGATTAGACTCTCGTTTAAGTAATTTTTGATTTTCACCTACTTCCGGTTAACCGGTTCTAATAAAATTTGGCACATGGGCGTAACTTAAACGGCTTATCCGACTTAAAAAGAGGAGTTCGCAATTCGTTTGTATGTTTTTATGTATTTTTTTATTTTATGTAACTCGATATCTTCGCCGATTGTGGTGGTATTTTAAATTTTAAAGAAAATAATTTCATTTATAAAGGCGGAAAATAGGGGAAGAAGTTTCATCCTGGACTCTTTTTTTAAGTAATTTTTGATTTTCACATATTTCCTGTTAACTGGTTCTAATAAAACTTGACACATAGGCGTAGTTTACATAATACAACAATATTATGATAACCTCAAATTGATCTAGTAATGGAAACTGAACGCAGTTGCGAGGAACTCATAAAAAGGGCATATAGCAATTTTTTGTAGTGTGTTTCGGCTTTTATGATTTGTCTTGACGAAGGCTTTAAACATTTTTGAGTTTTAACTGAAGGTCTTATGAGAGAGACGGTAATTATACAGGTTGTCCAGTAAATAGTACGACATACTGCAGGGGGTGATATCTAGGGTCACTACCTATCAATACAACACAATATATGTTCAGCAAAATCTTACGGATTTACAGTTTTACAAAATTTTCCGAAATACCGAAAAATCTCTACCTTGAAACAGATTTTTAAGCATCTCGTAATGAAAAAATCCTTTTCTAGTACTTTTTTTTACATCAAATTATTCGTGAATAGTTACTTTACTCATTGATAAGTCTTTTTTTCTATCAAAGACAAGAATGTTTTCAAGAAATACTATTTTTTGTTTAAATTTGCACAGAACTATTTTCTTATCACTTAAGTTATAGAAAGTTATATGTGGTACCTACAGTGGTGAAAAAAAAGTATGTGGCAGTTTTGTACAACAAACTTAAAAAATAGCTTGTTTAATGGTGATTTAGGAAAGATACAATACTAGTGCATTTTCATTAAAAAATACAAAAAATAAGCTATTTTAGTTAATAAGAGCATTTTATTTTAAATGCAAGTAATGTGACTTTGAATTCGAATCGTTGTAAGGTCGTACTACGGTTCGAATTACATAATAATTAATCTACAGCCGACCGGCCGGCCGGTCTGTAAATGACATCTTGAAGGATAAGGTGATAGTAAAAAAAACAGAGGAGGTAACTTTAATAAACATTTATTTAAATAAATTACAATAAATGCTCAAATTGCTTCCCTTGTGCCCTAATACACGCTCGGCATCTTCTTAAAAATGAGCTTTTGAGTTTTCTCAGGCTTATTTCCGATATTTTTCTTGCTGCAATGTTAACCGTTGCTCTCAATTCATTGTCATTTTGGATCGGTTTTTCATAGACTTTGTCCTTCATGGCACCACAATAAAAAAATCCAGGGGGTTTAGGTCCGGAGACCTAGGTGGCCATAATATCGGTCCCAGTCGCCCAATCCACCTGCCTGGATAAGCTTCATCTAAGTAAGCTCTTACTTCCCGGCCATAATGAGCAGGGCACCCATCATTTTGAAGCCACATCACCTCTCTTAGCTCCCTCGGAACATTTTCAAGGAGCGTGGGTAGGGTTTCTCGTAAAAACTCCAAGTAATTATTGGCATTTAATGTAGGTGGAAGCTCGACGGGACCCACAATCTGGCCATTAAAAATCCCACACCATAAATTTATTTTGAATTGGTACTGGGACCTGTCTTCTCTTGACACATAGGGATTTTCTAATTGCCAACTATGTAAATTATGCAAATTCAAGTAGCCGTCCTTTCTGCAGGCTGGCTCATCACTCCATAACACCTTATTAAAAAAGTTTGGGTCCTCCCGATGCATTTCAAGCATGCGGCGGCAGAATTGAACTCTCGGCAGTTAGTCTCGAGTTTGCACGCGTCGTACGTGAAATGGATGGTATCCATACCTCTTAAGTACTGAATGAACAGTGGACTTCGGTATCCCTGTGCGCCATTGTATCGCCCTAACCGAAGTTGTCGGGTCTTGTTCTCGTTCCTGAAGCACTATGTCTTCGTCAACAACTTGAGGCCGTCCACCGCCACGTTGACCGGGGAGTCTGCCTTCCATGTAGGAGTTATGCACTCTGGTAAACATTTCATGGTGTGGATGTCTCCTATCGGGAAACCTTTCCCTGTAGAGGGTGGCAGCAGCTCGGGAACTTTGGCCAGCTTCTCCGTAAATAAGGTGCATCTCAGCATACTCTCGCTGCGTATAACCAGGAAAAACGCGGCGGTTGGCCATGTTATAAAACACAAAAGTCCAGGTGGTCGCCAAGTCGTCGTAGTGATCACAATAAAAAATCCAAATCGTAAGGCAAACAAAGTCCGGGGTCCAAGGCACAAAACAGTCGTCAGTACGAAACAACAATTTGTGAACACAGAGATGCGTTGCGCACGGTTTAAGGCATAGAGTAGAGTAATATATACAGAAATAAAGAGCCATCTCCTAGGATTTTTTGTCACCCAATATGAATAGTGTCGCCGCCTGGTATCATATCCCTAGCTGTATGTAGTTATGTATATACAGCTATCTATACTATAGGCGGTTATATTTATATTTTAAGGGATTAGGGTTCAATTAAAGACGTATTATAGATGTCAGTAATATTAACATTTATTTTTGTTATATATATTTAACATACACGATGTAAAAGCGTCTATTCCGCAAAATACAACACCAAACCAAATTAAATATGTCCACCGGGTTACCGGAATGATAAATGAAAGCGTCTATTACGCACAACACTACACAAACAATGTGGTTCCAGCATGAAAATCTAAACAGACAACAAGAAACAGAGGGCTAATCCCAACTCAACCAAACTATAACTATAATAAAACAAGAACTTGCTCAGCGCCGGTAGCCATTATGTCATAAAGTTGCTACTTGCCATTTCCAGAATAACCAGAATTGGTGTAGTCGCCATCTAGCGCACCTATTAGAACTAAATGTTCGAAAGTTTATGGGGATATAGTACAAGATGGCACTAGTGTCTTTGCAAATTATTGAACCCCAACCTAAAGTATGGAAGTGTATCCCCCCTGGTTTAAGGTAGCGTACTGACAAGTGTCGCAAATAAGGTTGAGAGTGAGACATAAAATCATAATGCAAGAAAGAGCGGGATAGCACATGTGCTTCTTTTGTTAGACACACTGACCTCTATATATACAAGCTACGCTGGACTGGCTATACCATACAAAATGACTGTGCCAATTTGAAGCGCTGCTAAAGGATGTCTTGAAAAATAAAATTGAGATAATATGCCAAAGTCTGTTGTCTTATTTATATTGTCATATTTAAAAAATCTGTATTTTGAACTTTTAAACTAAAAAACGAAAGTATTTTATGTTTTTTGATTGTGTATAATATTAGTTACATAATAAGATTTATTTTTATTAATAATGAGAGTGTGCGTAATCTGTAAAACTCGTTACCAAAAGGGAAGTGTTGTAACATTTCACAAGTAAGTGAATTTGCAGCAAATATTAAATAAATTAAAACTATTTGATAAAGTATAAGTACTTAAAAATTTGTTACTAATATTAATATCATTTATACTAACATGTTTGGCTGTATATTACTGAGTTTTGATAAACAATAAAATTCAATAGGGTTGTCGAGTTCCTTGTCTATAATACTTATCGACGTTCTTTCCTACCAATATCTGTTAATAAACAAAGTCGCCAATAACAGATGATTATCAATTAACAATGTTTATTAATTAACAGGTTCCAACTGAACCTACTAAAATTATGGCTTAAAAGCATAAATATTGTGAATTGGCGTCCGAAACAAAATGATCATATTGGTCCAAACATTTCACAGACGACTGTTTTATTAGACATGAGAACTGCACCACTTTGAAAAAGTGCGTATACCGACAATAAGTACCAGTACCAGAAGTTAAATTAATATTTAGAATTTTTTTTATTTCTTCTTTCCTAATTTTCCACCAAACTCAAGGGCCTAATCCAGACGTCAAGCCACGTTATGTGTTAGTGGGCTGCAGCTAGAGGAATCCTCCCTGTACCGGAGATTAAGGGAAGAGATGGTATGGCGATTGGCGATGCGCCACTCGACTATCTTTGATGCCATTGGGCGGCTGGCGCCAGAGAGGCCGCGGATGTGCATGAAAGCGTTTCCGTGGCCCTGCCAATTTGCGGCGGAGGTAGAACACCATGGGGTTTTAGTAAGTGCGATCTAGAGATTTAATTCTCTCTCAATTGCAGGCATGTATATAGTAATAGTATTACACATTTGTGCTATTT